ATAAAAACCCTAAACAATGGTGTAAAAGCTCAGAGTTTCTGGGTTGGCGAACACATCATGGTGCTGGAAGGGTGGCATACCTGGAGAGGGCATGGAAGCCCCACACCCCTTCTCTTATAACTGGCTCTATGCATCATTTCCATTTGGCTGCTCTCGAGTTGCATCCTTTATAATAAACCCATAACCAAAAGTAAAGTGTTCCTGAGTTCTGTGAGCCATTCTAGCAAATTATCAAACTTGAGGAACAGGTCATGGAAACTCCCAACCCCATCAACTTTATTACCAGTAGGTCAGAAATACAGGTAGTCCAAACTTATAATTGTTATCTGAAGTCAGGGCAGGCCTGTGGGACTAAACCCTTAACCGGTGGGGTCTGTATTAACTCCAAGTGTTCAGTGTCAGAATTGACACCCAGCTGGTGTCCGGAGATAGGGAGAATTGGTTGGTGTGGGCCAAAGTAACATATTTGGGGTCAGAAATGCTGTGAGTAAAAGAGTTTAGACTGATCCTTAGTCTTAGACTTTTATCGTTGTGAACTTACATTCCAGCTGAGGAAGGTAAATAATAATAAACTGTGAAACATGTAATGAAGGCTGATATGTGAGAAAAGAATGGAAAACAAAGCAGTGGCAAGGGCCTGTAGTCCCGGTTACTTGGGAGGCTGAGGTTAGAGGATCTCTTGAGCTCAGGAGTTCAAGACCAGCCTGGGCAACACAGGGGGTATGGAGGAAGGAAGAAAGAGGAGGAGGAAGGAATAATAGAAAACAGAACGAGGGTATTTTCCTAGTGCCTATAAAGTTGCTATTAGAATCCTCCTATCTCATCTGAATCACGGAGGCTTGTTAGTCAATGTAAATATGCATTTCTAGTCCAGCGATGCACTGGTCTGAGATAAAAGTGATAAAAGGAACCAAAAGAAAAATACAGCTTCTCATTTGTCCCATGTTTGGTGAATTTATTGTACTTTCTCTATCCAACAATCCAGACACTAAATAAAGAACTCACTGGGGCATATCCTACTTCTTTCCTGGTGTTACTACTGGCCGCAACATAGGGAAGCCTCACCAGTTTTCCACCAGTTAGAACCACCACTTAACCCCCATAATCTTACGTTGAGATATAAGAGAGAAAGGGATTCCAACTGCTCCCTGAATGTCCCTCCAAATTAGCTGCTAATGTCACCTCAACTTTAGCTGAAGATAATGCATTTCTAGAAGAGGGAATGGAAGCTTAATGCTGTTCCTGCATTTACTCACAGCTCTACAACATTTCTTGCATGTTCTGTGTTTGTTCCATGCTCCTCGTACCTAGTTTACAGATTTAGTACAGATTTTCTCCTATAAAAGTCTGTTGGTAATTTCAAATGGAATGGGAAAAAGGGTATTGGACCATTGTTTTTAATTAGCTTTCTTACTCATAAGTCCTAGACTTAGCCTTAGACTTTTAAATATTTTAAAGGAGGTTTCTGAATAATCCATTTTGATATTTTGTGTCAACTTGTGTTTTAATAATTTCATATTTTAAAAATAAAATCATAAGAGTGTACCCCATGACATATACCATTAATAAATTTATATCAAGGATAATGAATCTAATATAATTACTTGAAAATTCTTTTAAAACACATTTCAAATAAGAATTTTTACGTATAAAGAAACTTTTTTTTTCAAAAAAGTGATCAACTGATAAGAAAATATTATATTAAAAGCCGGGACTACTTTCTCTTTTTCACTTTGGTAGATGTTATCAAAGAAATTCTTCTTTCCCATATAAATAAACTTAAACTCTTACTTCCTCTACTACATACCTACAGTATTATATGGAAAATGACAAACAGCCTACCTCAGATAATTTCATATTTTCATCCAAGTAAGTCATGTGCAAGTTTTTGTTAAGCATAAAACCATAGTAATTTTAGTAATTTTTTTGACTTAAGAAAAAAATTTCATGGAAAAGCTATAGATATAAACCCAAACATAATTACCTAAACATTTATTTAATATTTATATTTTTCTACTTTAAAAACGTACATAAGTTGGGTGGGGTGTGTGGCTCACGGCTATAATCCCAGCACTTTGGAAGACCGAGGCAGGCACACCCGTGAGATCAGGAGTTTGAGAGCAGCCTGGCTAACACGGTGAAACCCATCTCTACTAAAAATGCAAAAATTACCCAGGAGTGGTGGCATACACCTGTGATCCTGGCTACTCAGGAGGCTGAGGCAGGAAAATTGCTTGAACCCAGGAGGTGGAAGTTGCAGTAAGCCAAGACCGTGCCACTGCATTCCAGCCTGGGTAACAGAACAAGACTCTGTCTCAAAAAAAAGACAAAAAAAAAAGTACATAAGCTATCAAAAATAACTTTCCCATATGAAGCTTAATTATTTCACAATTCACACTTACATATATACAACATATCCCACACTACCTCACTTAATTACTAGCCTCCAATTTCTTATATTTAAAGAAATACTTAAGTAAAATAAAATGTGAATGTGTATCATGTTCACTAAGGCCTTCCTTTGCTGAGGAGTTAGACATTAGTTAAAAGAAAAATGACAGGGTCACATAGTTCTAAGAACCCGCAAAAAGCAGCCGTGACCCTGTGATCCTACCTTCCGGGGGTAAGCTGTAGAGCTGAGCCACAGGACCAGTCACAGGAATAACAGGCAACTGGAAATGAAAAGAACTTTTAATCGTTGGGAGTGGCAGTCGATTTTTTGGGAAACACTTCCTCATTATCAGACTGGAGGTATTGACAAGAGGATCAAGAGTCCTCACTGCTAGACATTCCTGTTTTAAAAAAAAAGAAAAAGAAAAAATAATTTTTTTGACGAATAACTGAACCAATTTGACTTTATTTCAGAAAGTAATACATTAATAATTTTCTAGAAATACGTATCTCAAAAACCAATACTGTAACACAGAATAGTTACAAAATAGCTTTAAAATTCAGAATTATCTATCTGTAAATAAGAACCTCATGTGGCAAATTGAAAAGAACTTTTCCTTAAATATTGTAAGCAGAAATCAGTATCATCTTTGGAGTAATGTGGGGGACACTTAGCAAGCCTAGGACATAAAATAAAAAAGACAATTTAAGGGGAAAATGGAAAAAGGGATTAAGCAAGAAAGCTTAAAAGGTGTAAGATGTTTAAAAAAAAAATAAATGCATTTGACCGAACCTTTCTCAGAGAGGTGCAATAACACCTCTCGTAAGTTGGCTATTCACCTTATGAAGGGACAGCCTGAATATCACAATATAAAGTTTTAAGGGTCTGACTTGTTGTCCTGGTCTCTAGTCTTGAGAAGGGTTAAGGGACACAGGATATGAAACTGTCATATAACAACTAAATATTATTAGTGACAATTGACATTTAGATGGTACTTTGATACACTGTAAAAGTTTCCATATATGTTTTCACATCTGACCTGTCAAAATAAATGAAAAATTAAGGCTCAGAAATGTTAAGTGGCATAAACCAGTCACCTAACTCCTTCTCATATATAAATTATCCATTGCTATCTTTACTAGGAAATGTAAAAACAAGTGCATATGATTGATCTAGAAAACAAAAAACTAAGGTAAACAAAAAATATGTGTTCAGCTATCTTAGCTCTTGTCATATAAAAAATAGATTGTGTTGATCATGTGTAAGACCAGGAGTGCACAACCAAGATAACTGGCTGATATTTTCAAAAAGACAGATTTCTTTCTAATAATATAGTTTTCTTTTTAAAAAGGGGGGGAGGGGGTGGGGGTTGCATTGCAACATCCCCATTCCCCATGGCTGACAATCAACACAGATGCTAGAAAGGATCTCACTAAATATATTGCCAAAAATGTTCATGCTTAAAACAGCTGGCAGATCTAGCATTCCCAGTTCCAGGTGTCATTTTTGTACATTCTCTATTCAAAAAAGCCTCTATCCAGCAGGAAAACATGCAGACCACTCACAGACAACAGAACTGCTCTACAGACTATAAAAGATCCACAGGTACCTCATGAAAGGGGCATACAACACTGAGTACAGCCAACTACACATCTAGAAAGCATGGCTTCATGGAATCTCCTCTTGCTAAGTGGATAAATTTCTACTTCTTCCTTTTTGCCTTTGGAAGAAAATCTCACATTGCAGAACTGCGCACTGACCATTTCCTCCAACTAAGCCTGAGGTCACATGTGAGAAATAACTGTGTCTTTTGGTTTTAAGATTTTCAAAAAATGTATTTATCATGTTTCTGAGTATTTGTACATTAATTCGGTTTTCTTAACAACCAAATCATATCATTAGTACATAATCAGGATAATAAGAAAATAACTCACTTGTGAAGTGTTATACAGAATTTTCATCCCATTGGCATCAATAAATGCTTTTCTTCCCAACTTGATGTTTGTAACACTTTTTAAACTCTGTAAAATTCCTTTTCGAATGAGCATGTTTCTATGCCGATTATCATGGCGGTGCCAATCTACATAAATTGTTAAAAGCACTTGGACATATCCTCTGTCTACAGCTCTCCTGGCATTTGTTTCTTTAACAAAAGAAAATTGAGAAAGAATACTTTTTAAATGACAAGAGAGGGTGATAGAATAAATCAAATTTAAAATATTACCTCAATATTGTGATGGATGCTTATGATTCTTTTTTTCCAAAACAAATGACAACCACATATTTAAATTTTTTCTAACAAAATAAATATGAAGTTCCAGAGAGCAAATTGCAATCTCTTCCAAAACCTGCCTGTGTACTGTTTCACCATTTATAAATATCAAAATGTCTTTAATAAAATTTGAGGAATAACTTTTTAAATGCTTTTGTTTACTAACAAAAGCTTCATGTATTTTAAAATTTATGAATGTAATGATTTTCATTACACCAAATGAAATGTACACGCTTTCTACTTACTAGATGTGAATGTGATTTTTAGAAGATCCACTATCATTTTTATAATTTCTATTATAAACTTTATGTTCCCACTGAAATAAACCCTATTGAATTGTAGCTTCTATTGCAAACTTTATGTTTCCACTAAAATTAATTGCTCCAATTACTCCACAATTATATAAATATTCATACTATAACAATGCTAATTTTAAAATACTTATATAACTTTTTTAGTAAATGAAATGTAAGGAGCATTACATGATTAGAAAATAGTGCTTTCTGGCTTTCTAGTCATTCGATTTTTATTGTAATAGCAACTACACTAAAGGTTTTTGTAAATACTCAAGTTTATTGGAGTAGAATTAACAAATAAATCCACATTTGCCTTAATTTTATTATTTTATTTGTATTTAAAATTATTAACCACAGGGTGCATTTTACTAAGATAGTGGCAAGGAATCATTTCAGAGCAATATACCGAGTCACCCAATGCTACTCTGCTGGGTTAATTATAAGGAGCACAAGATAATATTCAACACCCATCTGAGGTTGTTTAATTAAAGGAAATACTAGTGTCTTCTTAATCTCAAATTTACCTACAAAATAACCACTAGGTTCACAGTATGGACACTAAGATAATGCAATAGTAAGGCTCCACTGATTTTAGTTGCCTGAATTATTAGTTTCTAAAGGTGCTAGTAGAAACCTAAAACATAACACTGAGATAAACTTATTAATTCCCTTTGAGAACTATGTTATGACATTAGACAGGCCGAAGACACTTACTAGAGCTAGGGAAAAGATTTCCTATGTGAAGGCTTTAAACCCTCTATTATGTCTAGAATAGCTAGTATGCTAAGGCTGTGGCTATTTTACAAAATCACTTTCATTGTTTTGACCAAGTAAAGCTTCATACATTTTAAATGAATACACACTTTGTTTACACAAGTTGGAAGTCAGCCTTTAGTTTACTAGCTGTGAATGAGGTTTTGTTAAAAGCCATTATGATCATTGCAATTCCTATTACAAACCTTGTGTGTTTCCACCACAACTCCCAATAGCTTAAACGGTATTTATGAGAAATATTAAAATTCTTTATGAAAGATCAAGTACGAAACTTGCCCATAACTCAAACACAGGTGCTGAGTGCCCCTTAAAGGAAGTGAACAGAGCTACATGCAACCAGCACTGAGCACAAATAAAACATTAGAAAAGGGAACTTTATTCATGTATTCAGGATACCAAACTCCCAATTAGCCTATGTCTCCTCTTCCCTCTAAAGTCTAATTTATCCTCTTAAAGAAAATGATTGCACCTCCCCTGAAACCAAAAACATTTTGAAAAATAAATGAGAATGCTCCAAAATGCCATGATTTGTTTAAAAATATGCAGTGTGCCACGAAATAATATTTTGCATCATTAAATTTTCATTCTATTTAGTGCCGTGTCATCTGAAAATATATTAAATATAAACTGAAGTCATTCTCCTTTCAGTTACTATTTTTTTCTCCTTTCAGTTACTATTTTTTTATTCTGATGGAATAAACAGGTATGTTTGCCCCACCACACTTGTTTGAAAAAGAAGGGAGGGAATAAAAAGGAGACTACTACTAAAAACTGAAAATACTCAATTACAGTCATCATGTATTAATTGATTTCTATAAAATACTTGAAACTTATGAGTTTTAGCTTTTACTAGCTTAGAATTAATGACTTTGCCATTAGTGATCCTGAAAATTAGTAAGCTTTAATAAAAGTTTAGTTTTAAAAGCTATTCTATTCTACTCCAAATCAAAAGTATGTGCCCATATTAAGAATTAATCTTTTTACAGTTTAAACCACAAAGTGAGGACCCATCAAAGTAAGGCCAAAAATATCTTCTCAAATTAATCCACATATTGTGATCTTGGTCTAAAGCTTACCACATCACAAATGAAAATAAAGCTACACAACTAATCTGAGTGTCATATACTTTGTCTGAAAAATAAAATTGTCGAATGAGAATTCTATTATTTGGTACTAATACCTAAGGTGATTTTTTTTAATTTTATAAATCATTACCAAATATTAGATTTTCAATCAATTCATTATTTACTATAATTTTAAAAAGATCAGAATTCTGGTAATTCAAACAAGGGGCAAGTTTGTCTTACCCCTAACAGGCAGTTATTGATGAGCTGTCTGTTACTTATGTCTCCCTTGTGGATGGTGGGGTGGGGTGGGGACATATAAAAGCCACCCAGCCAACACAGATTGTTAAGACCAAATGTTATCGTGATTAAACAAAATGTTAATAAACTGATCGACCCCTGAAGTGCCATTAAAAAAATATTTAAAATGAAGATACTAAGCATATTGGAGAGAATATATATATATATAAGTACAGGCGATTACTCTCCAAAAGCATAAGACATATCTACTTCAATGCTTCAAGTCTGATAAGGAAAACAGTGCTTTATTTTGTAAATGAATTAGACTGTAAATTTATATTAAGTCACATTTTCTGCAAGTTATATAAACTCACATTTACGGTAGAAACAAAATTTGTAGAGTTCTAAGTTATTCATAAAATCAGAGATAGTTGTTAAAAGATATTTCTTATAGTAAAAGTTCAGTACACGTTAGCTTCACTTTCAAAAAATTATACATATTTTCCTCTACTAATGGATCTTTATGTTTATCTAAATTACTTAGAAATAGGCAATCAACGTGCTTGACTAAATTATATAAATGTACTAAATAAATTATAGCTCAATAAACATAATATGGCATTAGTTACGATGCACATCAACAACACTATAAGGAAAAGTCAATTTTGACATTAGAATACCATAAACCAGCTTTATAACTATAGTCTAAATCTACATTTCTAGATTCTTTAACATAGTAAATAGAATTCTCAGAAAAATAGTATCTAGTATTTCTAGTATGTAAAAACTTACTTGATTTTAGCAATGCAGCAAGAGTGTCTAAAGCAACCCTGTCAACACAACAAGAAAACACAAACAACAACAAAACTAGTAAAATTAATCTACAATAGTAAATTCATACAATCTTTTTCAATAACTCATTATTCTATTATCTATTCCAAAGTTTATTCTTAATTACACTTGGTATTTATCTGTATGCATCTCTCTCTTCAGCTTAAAATTGGATATGAAAAAGACTGAAATATCAATAGATGTGAACAAAAAAATATTTTGAGAGAGAAAAAGAAGGAAATTAACAATGTCTAAGTTTTTGTCAGAAGTTAGATAAATGGACTCATTCCATCAGCCTCTGTATCTGACCTGAGAGTTAACAAAGGAAACCACACGATTAAGAATCATATGCCCTGATTTGCAAAGGAATTAAAAACAAATTTTAACACGAATTATCCTAACTACAAAATTCTATAGATATTGTAACTTTCTGACTTCAAAGTATTTCCATTCTATCAAGCTATATCTCCTCCTATTTAAGGCCATAACAAAGGTAAAATATTTTAGAACTTGAAGGTTGGGGAGAAGTATGACCCGTTAACATTTTTCAGCTATGATGCACCAAGATGAATAAGAAGCCTAACTAATATCTCAAAAACTCTTAGTGTCCCTTAGAAGACAAAGAAATCACCCCCAAAATTGAAAGCATTTAAATTGTATTTGAACATAAACAGTCACACATAGTGAAATTGACTGCCATTAATCAGCTATAAAAATACACATAATATCACCATGGAAAACCTATAATTCAAATAGTTTATTTTTAATCAGTTACTGAGGAAATGGCACTTACTTTCAATAATTTTTTAAATGTAAGGCACATATTATAGTACCTCTTGGTAATACATCAACAATTACAATTAATTTGCATGAAAATTGTGTATATTATGAAGCAATCGTTTCACTCACCATTAAGCATTTGTTGAATGCCTACTTGATAACCACAGTAGCAAGTTCTTCATGGGTATAAAATTAGAAAACAAACTTATCTCTTCCACAGATAATTTTACAATCTACATAATGTAATAAAAGAGTATACCTATGAAAAAACTGCTCAAGAAATTAAAAACAAAAATGAGGTAATAAAGTAAAAGTTGCATACAGCAGCAGTAAAAGAGAAGCAGCATGACTAGCTGTAGGTAAAGAAGAGCATAATAGATTACAAGACGTAAGATGGGTAAGTAAAGTTCATAGCAAAATCTGAAACAAAAATCCAGGGCGAGGCACATGGTAAGTGCTCAACAAATGCCCAGTAAGAGGAAGTTCTTAATAGCTACTTTTTGTTTTTTGACAAAAATAAAGCAACCATGTAAATCTTCATAATAACATTTGTAAAATAATAATTATAAAGTATTTTTATATTATAAATTCATACCTGTAACTTCCTCAAAACAATATGAAGTGTTGGTAATAGTGAGTTAAAAATAAACAAACATTATAAAATTTTGTATTAAATTTTCATTGCATTGAATTATCAGTAAGAAACTTTCCATACTTTTACACTTAAGCAATAAAATGTACAGGAGAATATAAAACTATCAAAATAATGATGGCTTCTCAATTGGTCAAAATTAAACACAAAACTAAATGAAATTCCATATGAGACTGCAATTTATAAAAACTAAAATGGAAAAGAAAACTACTTCAGCAAGACCTGACAAATGCCAGACACTGTTACAGGTGCTTTATATATATATATGTTTTCAATTTTGTTTCACAGACTGAAATATAACATGCCTAGGGCCACATAAAATCTCAATGCAACAGAATGAATACACAGAATTCTCCTGTTGAGAAAGGAAATTATGAAATTAGAAATGTCAGTCTCCCTTTGAGAAGGCTATCTGAACTTTCACTTCCAGACAAAATGGGAGTAACAGAAACTGGATATACCCTCTCATTTGATATAATTTTTTTTTAATGGACAAAATGGGACTGTTTAAGATACTGAATATCAATCAATGAAAGATAGCGATCCACAGAAATGGCAAAAATGAGATGGGCCCTACAATTGCTCCAGCATACTACACTTTGAGAAAGCAACCAAGCCACAGCAGAGGGAAATCAAACGTAGTAGAGTCTGGCAGATCCCCAAGCTGAGCACACAAAGTCCCTGATGGAGGACATGGAGAGTCCAGGGAGACCAAGTCGGTTAGAGTTCACAGCACAGAATACCAGAAAATGAAAGCTATACAGAAAGAGTGGCTCAGGGATTTTCAGAGAGTTGTGTTTGAATATTCAGCAAAGTAGTGATCAGCACATGTGTGTGAAGTAACTACCAAGGCCGGGGAAAACCCATCCAAAAGGACTGAAGAACCACATCTAGTATTCACACAGGGCTGACACGTGTGCCTGCTCCCACCAATCACACCAGAAATCCTCATGATTCACGGGGTAGAGTGCTCAGAAGGATTCTGCCTCAGTAGCAGGGAATAATCAGTCCTAAACAGTGCTCTGATCCCATCAAACAAATCTGAAGACAGATCAGACTAATTCCAACAAACTTAACTACATCCCAGAACAAACCTCAAGAATATTTACAGAAATATAAAAATACCCAGCACTCAACAAGGTGAAATTCACAATGACTGGCACTCAATCAAAAATATCAGGCATGAAAAAAGCAGGGAAAAAAGACCCATAATGATGAAAAAAAAAAAAAAAAAAAATAAAAGATGTAGACCTCACATAAACATTAGAAAACATTAAAATACTTATAATAGTACTCCATGTGTTCAAGTAGAGAAAAGATTTAACATATTATAGAAAGACAGTGTTTTTGAAAAGCTACCAACTGATCCAGCCATTTCACTCCTAGATATCTACTCAGCAGAAATAAAAAATATATGGCCATAAAAAGTCTGTGAATGTTTATATATCCAAATAAACATTCACAGCAGCTTTATTTGTAACAGCCAAAAGCTAAAAACAATCCAAATGTCCATTAACAGGTGAATGGATAAACAAATTATAATACAGCCATATAACTGTGACTATTATTCAGCAATTAAAAGAATAAATTTTTGATACATTCAACATAAGTGAATTTATAATCATGATACATGGAAGAAGCTAGATCCAACCCCCCACAAAAAAAGATTACACACACTATGATTCCATTTATATAAAATTCCTGAACATGTAACCAAATCTATAGTAGTAGAAGGCATAGCCATAACAGGGCCAAATGGGAGACGCAAGGGAAGAATTACCAAGAGCACAGTAAAGCCTCTGGGGGTGATAGAGATGTTAGCTTGATGTGGTGATAGTTTCATAGGTTTAGCCATATATCAAGGACCACATTATGATTTTCATGGGCTCTAGACACTTCTTTGCCTTCATGGGCCCCTCCCTCCAAAAAGTATTTAAAATTCATATAGCATTTTACAACTGTGTTGGTGTTGGTATAAAGATGAATGCACTAAATATCATAGATTAAAACATTTTCTTCAGCCTAAAAGTTCATTTTTATATGATTTTTAAATAAATTAAAATATTTTTATGGGACCCTAGAAGTATTGTGGGTCCTTGGCACTGTGCCTACCGAGCCTAAAGGCTTTTAGCCCAGCCTATGTCCATTTTCAGCAAATGGTACACTTTGGATATATATATAACTTACCATGTAAAATACATCTCAGAAATGTATTTCAAAAAACAGAAGTCAATCTAATATAAGAGAAACTAAGTAAACCCTACTTCCTGTGGTTATTCTGTTTAATTTCCATAGGCTATAAATCCCTTCTATTTAAAAAGTGATTTAAAAGCTGAGACAAAATATTTACTTCCCAAGGCACTAAACAATCTACTAATTTAATCATGTTAGGAAGATCTCAAGACTCACTGCATTACATGTATTACCTACCGTAAGCAGCAGATTCCACTTGCTATTCAATGTAATGTGTTTCTTACCATTACTAAAGAGGCTTCTTTGTCAACTTTTATTAGAGACTACCATGACCCATCAAAACATTAACTTCTATGTATGTAGACAGAAGTCAAGTTTTGTGAAAGACTATGCAAACTACGCAAAGTGAAGATACAGCTAACATAGAACACAATGAAAGATCACAAACTGTGCTTACTGCTAAGTACATGCAGTTAATCACTGTTATGGGTTGAACTGTGTCCAAAAAGATATGTTGAAGTCCCAACCCCCACTACATCCAAATATGACCTTATTGGAAAACATGGTCATTGCAGATGTAACTAGTTAAGGCAAGGTCATACTGGAGTAGGTGGGCCCTTAATACAAGAGACTGGTGTCATTAGAAGAAGAGAGAAGACTATGTGAAGACAGACACAAAAGGAGGGGGTGCCATGTGATGATGGAGACAAAAACTGAAATGCTATGGCTGCAATCCTAAGAACACCAAAGACTGCCAACAAACCCCCAGAAGCTAGGAAGAGCAAGGAAGGATGCTCCCTTACAGGTTTCAGAGGGAGCACAGCCCTGCTGACAAGTTGATTTTGGACTTCTAGCATCTGGAACTATAAAACAATAAATTTCTATTGTTTTGAGTCACCCAGTAACTTGTGGTACTTTGTTATTACAGCGCTAGAAAACTAATACAATAATTTAGATGCAATCACTTACAATGAACTCATAAGATTTTCCTTTCTACAGATGATTCTTTATTCGAAATTGTAAAAATCTTAGAAACTCTTTCTCCCTACTGGCAGTTGTTCACACTGTTTAAACTAAATAAAAATGCTCCTGACAGTTTCTAATCCTAAAATAGAAAATTTTTTTTCTGTTGATATTTATTTTTCAACACTGTCAAGCTGGAATATGAACCAGTTCTTTCGGATGCCAATGCCCATTGTCTTTATTTCATATTTCCAGTAGATTAACAGATTACTCGTAAAATTTGGTGTAAAGTCATTTGTACATAACTCTTAAATAACATTTAGTAAAAATGTGCAGATTACTTTACACTAAACTTGGTAACTTGGTTATAATAGAGTATAAAGTACATCTTAAGTAGGAGATCATGGTCATTACATAAAAAATAAATTATAAAAAAAAATTATTTTTAGAATTTCACCACAAAGAAATTTCTGAAATTCTACAACACTTATAAGCCAGAGTGAATTTATGTTACAAAAGAATTTTAAAATATTAGATGTATTCAAATGCATAGTTTGTATTATGTTAATTAAAATTTCTCAGTATAAATAATTTGTATTTCCTCATGTATTTTTCCAGTGTTTATATTTCCACACAGAATACTGCAACCAACAATAATTCCAAAAGTAGTCTGTGGCTTAATTTAGGAGATGTGAAGGAAGAAAAGCTGAAGTCCCCAGACACTAATGAAGTTACATCTACTTTAAATTATAAGTCAATCCTTGTAATGACTTCCACGCCTGTGGGGAAACTCAAAAAGATACAGTTAAAGTAACTCCTGAGCTGCTTCCTTCTAGATTAACAGTTTTAAATCCAAAACCTAAAATTAAAAAGAAGAGGAAGCATAACCCTTCAAATATAAATCTTCCTCAATCTTCTTCCCCGTTAATGTGGAGCATTGTTCAAAGGGAGGAAGAAATACAACAGAAAGCTCTAGATGTCTGGGGTTTTTGGTTAATTAGAGGGAGACCCTCAGATTACTAAAAATGGTAAGTGATAAAGATATACAAAGTTTGGTCAATGAGTGGCTTGTTCTTTTTAAAGTAAAAATAAAGTAAAAGATTAATTTTTCTTCTTAAAGTAGAAATAGAAAAATAATGGATAATTTATCTTTTCTCTGATGTTTTAGATCCATTGATTTCTATAAGGTTCTGAATATACCCCATGTGGTATATCATAAAGATCCTTTTGAAATGCTTCATTTAATTTCCCCTGGGAACATTTTATATTAGATTTGGTAACTTGATTATACTACAGTATAAAGTACATCTTAAATAGGAGATCATGGCCATTACATAAAAAATAAATTATAAAATGCCATACCCCTTAAGGGGAGAAATCATTTATAAATGAAAGCATAAAGAATGTACTTTTGGTATTAGCTAGGAATCATTCATACCCACATTACTACCTTGCTTATCTAAACTGTATTACATTAATACAGGCATTGTGCTAATTATAGGAATCATTTCATTACAATACATACAGGAAACTAGGGCATAATAGATTAAGTAACTTACTTAATAAGTAAGTTATGATAGAACCAGTAAATGACAGAGCTAACGTGCAAATCCAGGTCTGTCTGCCTGCAGGGCCCACTCTAAATCACCATAAGACACCGATTCTGTGTTACTGATTGTGATACAAGTATTTTGTTTACTTTGTTACATTTCATCAGATACTCTAGGATTATGTATAATTCTTACATAGGTAACTATGTTGTCATCCTACCAAATAATATTTAATAAGTAATTATATGTGCAACTAAGCTCCCAAAATATTTTTAAATATTTGGCCCTTATTAAGAAAGGGTGAAGACACTAGAAATGTCCTGAACCCTATTTGTTTAAGAGTAAAATGTAATCAAATAGTTTATGTGACAAGTTCTTCATTACAAAAGATTCACAGCTAATAAACACAGGAAAAAAAATAAGAAAATTAGATGTTATTATTTTCCAATCCCTAATGAAATAACAGATATAGGCAATGTCATGAATGACTGCTAAATCACTAAGTGAAAAGTGGATGGGGACATTTCTTATGGATGGATCACCTCAACTCAATGAGCTTAAGTGACACAAAACAAAGTCCCCAGCTCCACCTATGAAATATTTTTGACCAAAAAAAGAAACAAACAAACAAAGAACAAAATGCCAAAATCTAATCAAGCCACAGTTTTATCAGTCTACAGAAAATGTAAGGAATATACTCATATGTTAAATAACTCCAGGCTACAGTCATTGTAAACTAGAGTGCGGAACATTTTTAAAAAGACCTATCACCCAAGTCCTTCAACAAACAAAACAAAACCAAAGAATAGGGAGACTTTTGATTTTAAAAGATTATGAGGCATATCAATCAAATACAATGTATAGACTCAATTTAAACCCTGAAAAACCCAGCCAACTGTTTAAAAAAAAAAAAAAAAAAAAGGCATTTCTTAGATATTCAGAAAATATCAGATATTAAGGAATTACCATTAATATTGTGGGGCACAAGAAAGACAACTGTGGTAACACTAAAGGAAAAAAGATCTGTAATTGATAGGGATCATATTAAAGAATTTACAGATCAAATATAATCGCTGATATTTACTTTAAAATATTCTAGGAAAAAATAAAAACAGAAAAACGAGACGAAAATGACAGATTTTTTATAGTAAAAATGAGTAACAGGTACATCAGAGTTCATTATACTATTCTCTCCACCTTTGTCTAGGTATGGAAATGTCCCAAATATAATGAGGAATAATGTATGTGTTTTGTTTGGATTCTTATTTAAACAAACCAACTAAAAACAGGCTATTTTGAGACAACTGGAGAAAACCAAACACAGACTAGATTTTAGATTATATTAAGAATGTATCAAGAGGATGGGGTGGGAGGATCACTTGAGCCTAAGAATTTGAGGCTGCAGTGAGCCGTGATCATGCCACCGTATGACAGCCTGGGCAACAGAGTGAGACTCCATCTCAAAAAAAAGGAAATTAATAATTTTGTTGGCTATGATGGTAGTACTCTAGTTATTTTTTAAGTCCTTATTTAGAATAATTATATACTGAGGTATTTAGAAAATAAATGATAATATTCAAAGAAAATAATCCTAGAGAAAATATTTAGGATCTGCTTACAGAAATACGCACACATTTTTTATATATTTTTTAATATTTTTATATATAATTTATATATTATATATTATATATATAAAACACACCTGAGATTTCTTGAAAGTATCTCAGGAAAAACAAACAAAAGTGTGGAGTGGAAATAAATGAAACAAAAATGGTGGAATGTTCAGAAGTGTTAAACACAATAAGTAATTAATATAATTCTATATAATTAGTTCAATATAAACTCTATTTTATGTATGTTTTAAAAATTTCACACCAAAAAGTTTTTAAAGAATGACCTCTAAAATGGCTTAAGACCAAATAACAAGACATGGCTTTCATTTTCTGAGGCTGAAAGGCCTAGGAATGAATAAAAATACACACATACACACGTATATATATATATATATATATACACACACACATCTAAAGATGAGGGAAAAAGAATGATGTGATTTTGACAAAACAAAAGTATATCAATTTAAGATTGTTCAGGTATTCCTAAGAAGGAAGAAGCCATTACAAGATTGTAAAATTGGGTGGGGAATATAGTAGGCACTCAATAAATGTTTCTGAATAAATACAGATAATCTTTTTTCCTTTAACAGTATCTAGAAATGCTCAGTCTAAGTTACTATAAACACTACATTCAATGAATTTAAAACTGTCTAATTTTAACATATTTGTGAAGATTAAATTTGAAACTAAAGAAAATCTTTATCATGATAAAATCATTATTTAAGAAGAAATGAAATAACCCTGAATATAATGTAATTCAACCTGCTCTTTGTACATTTCAAGATAATGAGGCCCAGAGTAACAAAGGTTATACCTATGTTTATATTCAAAACATTTACTCACTTTATAAGACTGGAATTCTTCTTACTAAATGGTCCAATGATTTTAAACATCAGTTCCACAACTCCATTTTTCCCTAAGGATACTGAATTCACAGCTGAGAAGGACAGAAAAAGATGGGAAATTATTTTTAATTCTCAACAAATATTACTAAATATATTATAGAACCAGGCACAGAGGCATGTGCCTGTAGTCCCAGCTGCTTGGGAGGCTGAAGTGGGAGAATAACTTGAGGCCAGGAGTTCAAGGCCAGCCTGGGATGTATAGCAAGACCCTGTCTCTAAAAGAAAGTTGTTTAATAAAAAATTTTTAAATTATAGATAAGCCATTTGCTAGCCTTCTGTTGGTTAATCCAATAAAATGCCACCAAAAATGTAGTTCCTAATGTTTTGTAGGATGATTTTAATTTTCTCTGTATCTGTTTATTATTCCATTATCCCTTCTAATTTCATGTCTATACTGTATTCCTTTTGCCTTGATTGGAGTACTTGGTTGTTTAGCTTTTTTATTTTTACATTTGGGAGCTTTTGTTGCTTTGTTGTTTTTGAAACAGGGTCTTGCTGTGCTGCCCAAGCTGGAGTGCAGTGGTGCAGTCATGACTCACTGGAGCCTCAACCTCCTGAGCTCAGGAGATCCTCCAGTCTTAGCCTCCTGAGTACCTGAAACTGCAGGCACACATCACCACAAACACCCAATTTTTTCCATTTTTTATAGAAATGGCATCTCACTATGCTGCCCAGACTGGTTGCAAACTCCTGGCCTCAAGCAGGCCTTCGGCTTAGCCTCCAAAGTGCTGAGATTACAGGCATGTGCCATTGTACCAGCCTATTTTTAACCCAATACAGTTTTATTTTTTAAATCACCTGCTTTTCTATTTTCTAACGCATATTTTTCATTTTCCCTTTACTATTTCATTTCCTGACTTTCCTGGTGTGTACCTCTCTATTCTTAACCTCTTTGGTTAGATATCTAATTCATTCATTTCCTTCTGTTTGTTTTAGTTACACGTTATTTAAGTGTTCTAAGCTGTCTTCCTCAGAGCACACCTTGAGCCATATTTTCAAGGTACTGATATATAACACAGAGACATATACATGTTTACGTATGTTTACATATTACATATATGTACATATACAATATACATACATATCTAGTACTCTATAATTATTTTGCAATGATATTCTGCAATAACATATATTCTGCAATTCAATCTTAGGTTCTTTCATTAACCACTTCAATTCCACAATCAGAGAATAGAAAGAAAATCCATACCTCATGGTGTGGATTCTCATATAGTAAGAGTGTGTGTTTTGGAGACATTTTATCTGAGTCTATCTCTCTGTGATCCCTCTTCTCTCTAGCTTTCTCAAAGGCTCCCATACTAGTTATTTTCAGTTCTGCTACTTCCCTATTGATTGCTGAAGGGAATTAGCTCCAGGTGACTACACTACTGCATCCCTTCCTTCTCAGCTTTCCTGTCATCTGTGAAAGTCCAAAGAGGCACAGGAGTTTTTCCAGCTGCCAATATCCTGATACTCCTCCACATCTTTTCCACAGGCTGCCTACCCATCCTCCTCATTCCTATCCTTTATAAATTGAGGAAATTAATAAAAATGTTCAAGGTTTCATCAGCTTACCTTCTTACCCCATATCACTTTTGTTGTGGTTGAAGTCAAGAGTTAAAATGAGCCATATTAAATCTTATCTTTCGTTTTTCACAAATTTCAGAGGTTTATAGAATTAGGATACTTTAAAATTCTCATTTTGGGTAACTTTACAACACTGGGTTAACTAAAAGCCACACAAATACTCACAGTTGGCAGAATATACTCGTAGAAGCTGAAGGCAAGGTAGCACCAAGCGATGATTCTGTAAATTCTGTTTGACCAAATTCAGGGTTATGTTCAGAGCCCCATTAATTCTAGCTTTTACTCCAAATTTTTTATCTGTTTAAAAAAAAAAAAAAAAGACAATTTATTCACATGTAACTTTTTTTTTTTTTGAGACAGAGTCTTGCTCTGTCATACAGGCTGGAGTGCATTGGCACCATCTCAGTTGACTGCAACCTCCACCTCCCATGCGCATTTTAAATAAATAGCTGGGATTACAGGCATCCGCCATCATGCCTGGCTAATTTTTGGATTTTTATTAGAGACAGGCTTTCACCATGTTGGCCAAGCTGCTCTCAAACTCCTAACCTCAAGTAATCCACCCACCTCAGCCTCCCAAAGTGCTGAGGTTACAAGTGTGAGCCACCATGCCTGGCCCATATGATGTAAGTTCTGAATGAAACAATCATATTATAAATTGGTGATATAAATTTTAAATTTATATTATGCATTAATATTAGGAAGTATAAAGGTAGTCTGAAAAGAGTAAAATTATAATCCTTTTTTGTATGGTTTTTAAAATAAAATATCCTTTTTATTTTAAAACATTACTTGAAAGAACATACTAAGAAACAGACAGGGGGATAAGGCAGGAGGATGGAGGCCAGAGTAGCCCAACACTAAGACTGTCGTTAAAAAAAAAAAAAAACTGAACTGCTCCACTACACGTTCAACACAATTCCCAGGAACACCATCACAGAGTTAAGAGGAATAAAATCTAAATGTCCATTACAATAGTACTTACTTAATATGAACCATATTCTTTTCTGACTTGTAAAAAAATTAATTTTAAAAATGAACAGCTTAGGTAGAAAATAATCTGGCAAATATTACCAATAAATTTCTAAAGGGGAATAATTTTTAACATAGAAAGGGAAGAAAAGATGTTCTTGATTTTTATCCTCATAAAGAGATTAAAAAGGAAAAAAAATAAGAACTTAAGAATGTTAAGATTTATAGTAGACACTGGAGATACAAAAGGTGGCAGGGTGGGTTAGGGGTGAAGGCTGAAAAATTACCTGTTAGCTACAATGTTCACTGCTCAGTTTATGGGTACATTAAATGCCCAGACTTCACCACTATACAATATACGCCTGTAAGAAACGTGCGTGTGTACTCCTTTGCTACATAAAAATTAAAATGAATTTTTAAAAAGACTTAAAGTAAATAGGACAGGCAAACAGAGAAAAGAATTCAATATTCCTAAAGGAAAATTATTTTACCTCACTAGAAAAATAAAAAGGATAGAAAACCACTGAAGAAATTACCATATAATGTCCTTGAATGACATAAAAATGGGAAACTAGGACAAACAGTAAAAGAAATAGCCCAAATTTAAAAGAATATACAAAACAAAATAAAGATGACCTAAAACTTAAAAGGTATATTAAAGAATAAGAAATATTTTAAAAATCAATATCTTAATTTCATGAAAAGTAGAAAACTTAAAATTATTTAAATTTTTCAACGTTCACCCCCTACCCACCCTGCCACCTTCTATATCTCCAATGTCTACTATAAGCCTTAACTAATTAGAAAAGGAAGCACAACAATATTCATCAATCAATAAGGGGCGGGGGTTTAAAAATGAATTTTCTGCCAAATTATGATTTTTTCATTTTCATTTTCCACAAAAATCTCAAAAGAAAGTCTTTAAATCTTAAATACAAGATCTAAAGAAATTAAGAGACAGTTAACATATTTCTTTTTTTTTTTTGTTTTTTTTTTGAGACGGAGTTTCGCTCTTGTTACCCAGGCTGGAGTGCAATGGCCCGATCTCGGCTCACCGGCTCACCGCAACCTCCGCCTCCTGGGTTCAGGCAATTCTCCTGCCTCAGCCTCCTGAGTAGCTGGGATTACAGGAACGTGCCACCATGCCCAGCTAATTTTTTGTATTTTTAGTAGAGACGGGGTTTCACCATGTTGACCAGGATGGTCTTGATCTCTTGACCTCGTGATCCACCCACCTCGGCCTCCCAAAGTGCTGGGATTACAGGCGTGAGCCACCGCGCCCGGCCAACATATTTCTTAAATAAATCGAATACATGCTTACGTCTTAAGACTCCTAACATACCCGGTAAATTAAAGTCACCTCAGAGTTCCTTTCTTTAAAACACCACCTATAAAAACTACTAGTTAATTACTTATTCAATACATAAAGATATGCGAGAAATACATACATTAATAAATACACAAACTATGTACACACACATCCTCATTTTTTCCAATATGCATTTTAGCCAAACACTCTAGTTTAAAAGTCATATGTATGCCACAGGCAAAGGCAAAACTCTTAAAACACAATTCTAACAACTTAGGGAACTACTTTAATCTTTGTATAAGTAGACAACTGTAAACTGAACTTGAGTTCTAGTCAAAGGATGCCTTCTTTAGTTAACCTAACCTCAATCAGCTTCTTCATTTTATATCCTGTTTTCCTCAATTTACATTTTTTAATATTTTACGTCTTACTGTTATAATAACTAGTCTCATAATTTTTCTTTTTGTCTTAACTAAGATTGTAAGTTTCCTGAGCATTCACACTATGCAACACAAATATCACTATTAAAGAAAGCAATGACATATTTTACCTCCATGTTCTTAAAAATATTCCCATCCATACTTCTTCCTTCTAGCCTCAACAATATCCATATTGTATGTATGCTTTACAAACACACTTGAGCGACATACACATACCCCAAGATACACTTGTGACCCAAAATATTTCTTTTTTCTACTACATGCAATAGAATTCCTCATAAATTTTGGATCCTCAGTTCTTGCAGGTCACTACTTGACTATAATAAAAAAGCATTTCATTTCTAAGTCTAAGAAAAAGGTATAGCATTTTAGATTTTAAAAATTAAGCACTCTCCAGAAGAAAACATTAGAGAAATGCTTCTAGACATTGGTCTGGGCAAAAATTTACTAGACCTTGAAAGCATAGGTAACCAAAGCAAAAACTGACAAATATGATTACATCAAGCTAAAAAGCTTTGGAACAGCAAAGGAAGCAATCAACAAAGTGAAGAGATAACCTACAGAATGGGAGAAAATGCAGACTATTCATCTGACAAGAGATTAATAACCAGAATATACAAGGAATTCAAATTAATCAACAGCTAAAAAAGAAAAAAATTAAATGGGCAAAAGATCTGAATAAATATTCTCAAAAGAAAACATATAAATGGGTAATGAGTATAGATAAAAATGCTCAACATTACTAATCATTAGGGAAATGCAAATCAAAACCATAATGAGATATCATCTCATCCTAGTTAAAACAGCTGTTATCAAGAAGACAGAAAATAACAAATGCTGGTGAGGATGAGAGGCAAGGGGAACACTCATACACTGTTTGCAGTAATCTAAATTAGTACAGCCACTATGGAAAACAGTATGGGAGTTCCCCAAAAAACTAAAAATAGAATTACCAGATGATCTAGCAATCCTACTGCTGGGTATATATCCAAACAAAAGGAAATCAGTATACCGAAGAATATCTGCATTCCCATGTTTACTGCAGCACTATTCACAACAGCCAAGATATGGAATCAACCTAGGTGTCCATCAATGAATGAACGTATAAAGAAAATGTGGTTTATCTACATAATAGAATATTATTCAACCATAAAAAAATAATGAAATCCTGTCATTTGCAGTAACATGGATGGAACTGGAGGACATTATGTTAACTGAATTAAGACAGGCAGAGAAAGGTAAATATCAATGTTCTCTTTCATATGCGGAAGCTAAAGCAATTGATCTCACAAAGGCAGTAAACAGAATAGTGGTTTTCAGAGGCTGGCAAAGGTAATGGGGAGCAGGAGATGAAGAGGAATTTGTTAATGGATACAAAAATACATTTCAATAGAAGGAACAACATTTAGTGTTTGGTAATATAAGAGGGCAATAATAGCTTAAAATAATTTATTATATATTTCAAAATATTATATATTTCAATAAAGAGAAGACTTGGAATGATCCCAACACAAAGAAGTAATGAGTGTCTGAGGTGATGGATACCCTCTGTACCCAGATTTGATCATTACACATTATACATTTGTATCAAAATATCACAAGTACCCCCATAAACATGTACAATTATTATGTATCCATAGAAATTTAAAATAAATAACGTTTTTAAAAACTGAGTAGTTACAAGGTGAAGAGAACCAATGTTACAAAATTAGTTCTAGATTCTATACTCATACAAATGAAATCCCTTACCTTTTGGTCCAATCTTTGCAAGAATAGAATGAATCTGTACCATTAATTCTTCATGTGGGGGAGATTCTTTGCTGGCATTCATAAGTAACTGCAACAATATTTGTGAACCACCTTTGGTGACTAAAAAACTCACTCTTCGACCTCCACCTATAAATAAATAAAAAAAATTTAAACAACAAATCCTCCCATATTAGGTATCACAATTTGTTAGCATTCAAGAAATGCTTAAAAGTGATGACTTCCAAAATCTAACAAATATGGCTGGGTGCAGTGGCTCAGGCCTGTAATAACAGCACTTAGGGAGGCTGAGGCACACAGATCCACCTGAGGTCAGGAGTTCAAGACCTGCCTGGCCAACATGGTGAAACCCCGTCTCTACTAAAAATACAAAAGTTAGCCAGGTGTGGTGGCACATCTGTAATCCCAGCTACTTGGGAGTTTCGAGCAGGACAATCTCTTGAATCCAAGAGGCAGAAGTGGCAGCGAGCAGAGATCGCACCACTGCACTCCAGCCTGGGCTACAAGAGCGAAACTCTGTCTCAATCAATCAATCAATCAAATCAAACAAATACCATCAACATATTTTGTTTAATCTCACTTATTTAATTAGAAAATGGCACACAAAGGGTAAACACAAATCATGCTGAAATTCTAGGTTCAAGGCTGTGAAATACATGGCTATGGGGTTGTCTGAAGATACTTGAAAAGATAACAAAAACAAAGCAACAACAACAAAGTATGACATTTCAGTTTCTAAATTCCAATACTCAGAATAGCCTCTATAAGAGTATCAGAAAATTCCAAATAAAGTGAATATGATACATTGTTGATCACTGTTTAGAAACAGAAATTAGACCAAAGAAACAAAAACTTACCAGCTGATACCAGCTCAACAAGAATGCTTAAGATATTAAGTGTAGTTTGAAGATCTTTAGTGTTCTGAAATAAATAGTTTATTTTATTAAAACATTGTAAACTTTTGATTCCCAAACTTTTGTATCCATTGGGAACTAGCGATATTTTATAAATGACCTTTCCAATTTCTCTAGAATCAAATGTATTCAGGTTTTCACTATTCTCTTATCATGTCAGTTTCTGTTTCCTTCTGCTTTTAAGAATGTTTATAAATTATTTTGAGTTATTACTTAACATCAACATTATTACAAGAATCAATTTGTCATTTTTCTACCAAATAGATAATAAATAAATCAAAATGTAAATGGCACTACAATATATGTCTGGTGACTACTCAATCACCTAGCTGCCCTCTCAGAAGGCAATCATTATCAATTTCTTGTGCATCCTGCCAAGGAAAATATACACACATAAAAGAAATCCATGTAAATATACATGTGCATACAGATTTATTTCTCCAAATGGTATTGCCCTATAGGTACTATTTTGCATGTTGATATTTTACATATCAATAGATAAAGAGCTTCTTTATTCTTTTTGAGGGCTATAGGATATATTCCATTATATGGCTATATCATCATTTATGTAACCAGTCACCTACCCATGAGATATTTAGGTTGCTTTTAATATCGTGCTTTTAAAAGTTTCAAATTTAACTAAGTATATATATTTACACGTAGTAAAGTACATCTGTATAAGTAAGGTAAATTCCTATAATTTCAAGGTCAAAGAATATAGGCCTTTATTTTAATAGATATTACCAAATTACTCTCTTATGAAATAATTTACATTCCCATCCGCAAATGCAGAAGAGTAACTATTTCTCCAAGTTTGGACAACCGATCTAATAAGTGAAAATGCTTAAACAATGTACTTCGGTTTTATTTATCTTATTAAGAGTAATGCTTAATCTCAGGTGACATCTGTGTTTCTTTTTCTGAGAACTGCCCATAGCCTTTACATGGTTTTTGAGGTTATTTTTTTTCCTTCCTAACTGAAGAAGTTCTTCACATGTCAAATAAATTATACAAGCCAAAATACTTTTCCTCAATTTTCCAAGTATCCATGGTGTTTTTATCCACATCCTTTTGTTAATATAGTTGACTCTATCAATCTTTTATAGTTTCTATTTTCTCATACTTAACAAGCCTTCTTTGTTATAAGATTATTTTTAAATTTCTCTATCTTTCTCTAATATTACAATTTTATTTTCCATGCTTAAATCTTTGCTTCGTATGGAATCTATTTGGGTATGGGATGCAGGAAGTCAGGATTCAATGTTACACTTTTCCAGATAGCTTCCAATCACTCTATTTCTCATTAATCTGAAATGCTACCTTTATTAAATAGTACTAAATTCCCATATGCATTTTATTTTTGGATTTTCTATTCTGTTATACTATAGTAGTAGTCTATCTTCTACTAATGCATAATTTCAAACTATTTTAATTACTGAAGATTTCTAATGTTCTTTGATATTTAGTGGGGATGGTCCCTTCTCACGTATCTTCTTTCTCAGAAATGTGCTTTATATTTTGCTGATTATATCTCCCCATTTGGACTTTAAAAACAAAACTGTTGGTAACTTTTATTGAGACTCTAAAGTAACAGATCAATCTAGGGAGAAATGACATCTTTATGATGCTAAGACTTCCTATTGAAGAACATGAACTAATCTCTTGTTCTTAGCATTGCAACTGAACAAAATACAGAATCCTGATTCTGAATACATCCTGTTAGTCCACCCAAAACTTTTACACTGGCATAAAAATTCAGCTATTGTCAATATAATATAGTTAACCAATATGTATAGTAAAATCACAAATGTATATCAGCTGAAACAATAAATGATCATCTTCAACCATTTATTTTAAGCTGAAGATTTATTTCCAGCTAATGCTTTATTTTCTATTGCCAACTAGAATGGCATGTTAGGATTATCATTTACAGTTATCACTATAATCACATAAGGGAAATATACTTCAGTAGTCACCTAATACATATTAGAATATTTATACTACCATTCCAAATAGTATTTAAAAAAACATAAAATGAATTTCCATTCACTGGCTTTGTCTCTAAAATAAAAATTGTTACATATATACATGTATGTGTATGTGTGTCTGTGTGTATTTATACACACACATAGGCTTTTTCTTCTTCGGTATTGCTTGGTATTAGTTACATAATAAAAGCATGTCACTGACTTACCTCTAATGTTGACAGCAGAATTTCCATTCCTGTAGAACCTTTGGCTGTCATTTCTCTCCTCGTTTTTTCTGAAAAGTAGAAAATAATTTTTTCTAAAGCATAAATGTTTAAAAGTATGCATAGTTTTGATGTATATAGCTAATATGGATTCAACTAGTCTCCACTGGTCCAGTAAACACTCTAACTTGGTTCGTAGATGTTCTTCCCTCTGATGTTGCTAATTCTACCCTATGAGGACTTTGAGATCTCAGTTAACATGACCTTCTTCACATTTCATCACATCAGTCATGAACTAGGTGATTCCCTATTCATCCATTTAATATCTTAAAATCAATAACATAGTACAGGTGCCAGAACTGGGGGTAAGGTAGGAGTCTTACCTCATCTTCATGAGTAGAACTAGAAAACTATTCATCAAAATGAGTGAAAACAAAACCTACTACCATGTTCCTATGTTTTCATTACATTAATACTATTTCAAAATTCTGTATCACACAAAAATAATCAAAACAAAGGAAAATCTACCTCTGAAACCATCTGGAGACCAGATCACCCAAATGATCCTTTTCCTCTCCTTAGGATCAGTTTTTTTAAAATAGCATAAATTATTTCTATTAGGTGAAGGTTTCTAGAGCTTCTTCACAATTCTTCTCCTTTGATTAACAGGAGAATAAAAGTACATCTTAGGCCAACATTTAGAAAAAGAACTCATATTTACGATTCCATGTGCTTTACCTGTGTTATCTCATTTATAACTCACTTTAATCCTCTGGGGGAAAAAAACTACTCTTTTCCAGATCTAAAAATTTAAGTTCAGAAAGGAGACCAAATCGCTGAGCAAATAAGTGAAAAGACCAGATGATCCATGTGTTTCTGAAGTCAAAACTTAACAGTCTTCCAGCATTTAATGTACTTCTACAAGAGTCACAGGAATCATTCTTTTAGCAGGTCAAACCTGAATACTAATGCCAGAAATTCTTTTAAAGACAGTGCCATTTATTTCACATTTTGAGATTTTAAAAATAGAATACAAGCCACTCTCAATACAGTACATATTCCACAATGAAATTCAAAGGACTGATACCAAAGTCTATGTTCCATGTGGAGATAGTCAAGGGAATTTAAGAGCAGAACAATAAGCAGTGAGGCCTGATTAAAGGAAAATATCAACACAGATGGGAGAAAAACAAACTCAGGCTAAGCCTTTAGAGCATCATACTTTTGCTCTGAGCAAATCCTGTTCAACTTCATGAGTCTGATGTCACTTGAAAATTAAGTTACTCTAAATCAGGAGTAAATAGAGGGAAAAATGTACTACAGAAAGGATATAGTATAATGGTATTTATAACAACTACTTATGACTAGCTACAAAATAAATATGCTGGAGAGTACATGTCATATTTATCTTAAAACAACAATCTCATGCTATCATGCATCATCTCAGGTTCAGTTAATGGATTTCATTAAACTGACAGAAATCTTGCAACTTTCAAAACAGAAACTCCTATTAAGTGATATGAAGACCTAAAACAATGTTCACCAATTCCTTGCTGCCACATTGCTAATGCTTAAAAGAATATAAAATTCACCTAGAAAAAAGTCATGATAGTAAAATTAAATTTCTCCTTTTTAAAAAGTATGTCATTCCTTTGACAATGCAACCTATCCACTTTTTCTCCAGCCCTGCTGCTTCCACGAAAAAATATTGAGTTGTAAGATAAAATAAAACAGGGTTTCAAATCTCCAATGTACCCTTGATGTAATATTTTAAAGGCCCCTGATTTAATATTAAAGCCAAATTATTTTTCAATATTAATATCACTACTAACAAGTCATTACATTTCCACCTCCATGAAGGGGAAAAATCTCTCTTCCTTTGAAGACAGTAGTGCAGCCTCCCTTTGTTAATGTTCACCACTGTTCTGTTTACACCTTACACTAAATGAAAAATAGGTGTTTAACAGTTTTCTACTCTATTCCAAATTCTGCCATGACCTTGGGAGACTTCACTGTCAGTGTGGAAAATTCATTCAAATACCTAGTTCCATAGTTTCTTGACCTCATAACAAAATCCCTCGTTCTATGCTCTAATTCATCAACCCTCTGAATGTCCATTCTCAGGACTCAAACTTCTCTGCCTCTGGTATCTTAACCTCTAATCTTCCACTTACAGATCATAGCCTCGTAACATTTCTATTCCTCTTTCCTTTATAAAGACTATGTAAACCTCACTGTCACCTTTGTTGAAACTTCTTATCCAGTGCAAGGTAGCACTGTTTTCCCACAGTGTCAGTCCCCTCCATACTTAGCTTGGATTCCAAGTACACCCGCACCCACCAACTTTCCCACCACAAACCCTAATACAGAAGTGAATCCCAAAAAGCTGAGTTCCCTACTCCTACATCAGGGTAAAAATAACACCACAAGAATTTCTTCTCCCAATTTAAGACAGTTAGTGCCATAAAATTAACGAATTCCAACCTCACCTGGGAACACAAAACTACTCCTTTCACTTACCTCAGTTCACATCCATCACCATCCGCCCGTCATAGCCCATAGCTATTCCAACATTTATACTAACCCTCAATCTTTCCTCTCATTCTATGGACTTCTCAGAACCTACATTTTTCCTCATTAAAATGAAGCAAAGTAATCAGTTAACAAAGATAACATTTTACTAATAACAGCCAAACTCTACATGGTCCTGTACTGAAATCCTTGACAATCTTGCATTCCTTCTCCCAGTAAATGGCAGAAAGAAGTAAAGAAGTGGAGGTTCGGAAGAAATGTCCTTTCTTCTATGTTCTGAATTCCATCCTTTCTACTTTTTTTTTTTTTTTTTTTGAGATGGAGTCTCACTCTGTTGCCCAGGCTGGAGTGCAGTGGCATGATCTCAGCTCACTGCAACCTCCATCTCCTGGGTTCAAGCGATTCTCCTGTTTCAGCCTCCTGAGTAGCTGAGACTACAGGCATGTGCCACCACACCCAGCTAATTTTTTGTAGTTTTAGTAGAGATGGGTTTTCACCATGTTAGCAAGGATGGTCTTAATCCTCTGACCTCAACTTTCTACCTTCTTATGAATCTTTAAATTCAACGTCTACCAACATATTGGCTGTTCCCCCCAACCAATAAATACAGTTTTTATTATTTCACATACTTACCAAATCTTATTTTACCCTGCCTCCCCTTCTATTTCCCTCTTTTCTTTCCTTCTCAGTAAGCACCCCAAACAAGTACTCTATATTCCCTGTAATTATTTCATTTGCCATTCACATTATAAGATACTACAATCTTCTGTCTAATTCTACCACTTGAAAGTGCTTTTGTTGTGATCAATAATTTGTTAATAATCCAATCAAAAAGATCTTTAATTAACCTTCCTAACACTTAACACTGTTGACTACTGCATCTTCCTTTGGCTTCTTTAAATATAATCCTTCACAGTTCTTATAATGCTATATTCTTTCTTCAACTGCTTCAATTATCTGAATGTTAGATTTATAGATAAGAACTTTAAAGCAGCTATTATAATAAAATGACATTAAGGTAAAGAAATTCACAATGAATGAAAAGATGGGAAAACACAGCAGAGAAATAAAAACTACAAACACAAAAGAACCAAGTGAACATTTGAGAATTAAAAAAAAAAATCTGGAATAAATTACCAGATAGCCTGGAAGAATGCACAGGAAAGAGGCAGAAACTGCAGTTTCTGCAGTTTTAGAACAATAATTTAGAACAATAATTTAGAACAACAGGATAATAGTAATTTAGAACAATAGAATAATAGAACAACAGAAATTATCCTATCCAAATAACAGAGAATTAAGCTTAAAAGATAAACTTAATTCAACAATTGCTGAAAAAATATCAAAAATCTAATATATGTATAATTATACTTCCACAAGACAAATAGAGAAAATAAGGGAGAAAAAATTTTAATGATAATAAAGATTTTAATATCTAACTCTTAATAATTAACAGAGACTTTGGATAGAAAATCAACAGTATATAGGAGATCTGAACAACACTATCAACTAACCTGACATAATTGATATGTATAGAACATTTCAGCCAACAACAGCCAAATACATTCTTTTCAGGTACACATGGAACATTTTTCAGGAGAAACCGTAAACTAAGTCATAAAACAAGTCTCAAGAAATTCCAAGGATTGAAATCATTCAAAGTATATTCTCCAGCCACAACAGAAATCAGAAATCAACAGAAGGAAATTTAGGAAATCCTGAAATATTGAGAAATTAAACAACACCCTTCTAAAAAACCTACGAGTCAAAGAAAAAAAAATCACAAAGAAAATTAGAACATATTGTCAACTGAATTAAAACAAAAATACAACGAATCAAAATGTGTAGAATGTAGCTAAAGCAATGTTTACAAGGAAATCTATGGCTTTGAATGCCTCCAGTAGAAATAATGGTCTCAAATAAATAATCTAGGCTTCCACTGTAAGAAAATGGCAGCAAGGCATGGTGACTCATGCCTATAATCCCAATACTTTAGGAGGCCAAGATGGGTGAATCATCTGAGGTCAGGAATTCAAGACCAGCCTAGCCAACATGGTGAAACCCTGTCTCTACTAAAAATACAAAAAAATTAGCTGGGTGTAATGGCAAGTGCCCTTAATCCCAGCTACTCGGAGGCTGAAGCAGGAGAATGGCTTGAACCCGGGAGGCAGAGATTGCAGTGAGCAGAGATCTCACCATTGCACCCCAGCCTGGACAACAAAAGCGAAATTCCATCTCCAAATAAAATTAAACTCAAAACAGGCAAATTAAACTCAAAACAAGCAGAAGGAAGAATGCAATAAATAAAAGAAGATCAGTGAAACAAAACAGAGAAAATCAATTAAACCAGAAATTGGTTCTTTAAAAAGAACAACAAAAGTATTTTATTTTTTTTTTTTAAGATGGGGTTTCACCATATTGGTCAGGCTGGTCTCAACTCCTGACCTCAGATGATCCGCCCACCTCAGCCTCCCAAAGTGCTGGGATTACAGGCGTGAGCCACCGCGCCAAAATTAAACTTTTTGCTAGGCTAGGGTTTCTTAACCTCAGCACTGTTGGCATTTTGGGACAGATAATTCTTTCTTGTTGGGGGCTGATCTATATATTATACAATGTTCAGCAACATATCCAGCTTCTAACAGATTCCAGTAAGCCCCCCTTAAAAAAAAAAAAAATTTACAACTAAAAATGTCACCAAACATTGCCAATGTCCCTCGGGAAAAAAGTAGGGCCAACACAATCACTCCTGGTTGAGATCCAATGAGCTGACAGACCATGAAAAAAGAGAGGACACAATCAAAATCAGGAATGAAAGACAGAACATCGCTCTCTACTCTATGGAAACTAAAAGCATTATAAAGAAAGATTAGCAACGACCACAGGCCAACAAATTAGCCATTTGCATGAAAACAGATAATATAAATGTATCTAAGAAAAAAACTAAGGGGAAATTGCAAGAAATAACCATGTTCACTGTACATACGTAGTTAATGAGAGGCAAATTATGGAAATCTATAAGTTAATGTGTGAACACGGTGTGCTGCAGAGGTTGGTTTTTTTATAATTTAAATGTATAAGTAGTATATGCTTGTTACAACAATTTAAAAGTATCTAAAATAAAATTAGGAGCTTACCTTATTCTTCTCCATTCCTATCCCAACAATATAGCTACTACTAACAATTAGGTATATATCCTTCTTTTTATTTTATTTTTTGGCCTGGTTCATAGAAATGTAATGGTTTATTTTGCACAAAAATGACACTATACATATTTTATACAAAAATGAGACTATAAGCACTTACAGTCATATGAACTGAAGAAACTTGCTGTATGTAATATACTAAATTTAAGCCTCTAAGACAGTTCATATATTTCCACATATGAACTGTATGTTTCAACTATACTGTTTTTTTTTTTCAGTGTCTACAATAAACTTTATTGGAACTTAGCCATGACTGCTTCTTTATGTATCATCTATGGCTGTTCTTGTGCTACACGGCAGAGACTGTATGGCCCACAAAGCCTAAAATACGTCTGTATGGCCCTTCCCAGAAAATGCTAGCCATTCCCTGCTCAAGAGCAGTAGCTCTCAATTTCGGAACTATCTGGCAAGTTTTAACAGTAAGATTTAATTGGTTTGGGGTGAGCCTGGGTGTGGGGATTACAAGAGTCCCTATCATAAATAATGTATTATTCATAATAGCTGCATAATATGGCTAGAAATTTCCAGTTTGGCTATATCAAAAATTACTCACACATTCTCTAAATGATAGATATTTAGATTGTTTCTTGATCTTTAATATTACAAATGATGACCTATACTCTCTTTTACCAGCATTTTTATTTCAGTTAAAATATATTTCTGGGCCAGGCACAGTGGCTCACACCTGTAATCCCAGCACTTTGGGAGGCCGAGGCAGGTGGATCACCTAAGGTCAAGAGTTCGAGACCAGCCTGACCAGCATGGTGAAACTCTGTCTCTACTAAAAATATAAAAAATTAGCTGGGTGTTGTAATGCATGCCTGCAATCCCAGCTACTTGGCGGGCTGAGACAAGAGAATCACTTGAACCTGGCAGGTGGAGGTCAGAGTGAGCCAAGATCATGCCACTGCACTCCAGCCCAGGCAAAAGAGTGAGACTCTGTCTTCAACAATATATATATATACAAATAATATATGTATATTAAAGTAAAAATGCTGAGTCAAATACCAGGTGCAATTTGTTTTACTACACATTGCCAGATTATTTTCTACAAGTTTGTAATAATTACTGCACTGCCAACAGTGTATGAGAGAATCCTCTCCCCATGCCTTCAACAGTACCAGATATTGTCATTCTAATTTCTGTCAATCTGACTAGTGAAGATATCTTTGTTTTCATTAACAGTTCCTGAGCTGTAAGGAAGTAAAGAAAATTTGTGTACATTTCTTGGTTGTTTGCATTTCTTATTTCAACTGTAAATTCCAAACTTTCTCTCCCAAATGGGTAGCTAACTGGATTATCCTATAAAGGATGGGACAATCTTTCACTAAAAACTTATACTGTGTTGGTTAGCTAATCCCAGGCACTATAAAAAGAGTCAGTTTATTACACACGCCATGGGACAGTACTCAGGAGTTAGACACCAGTGGTGGCTGAAAAGTGGGGAGAGGGTCAGTCTCTGATAGTGGTATAGTTAGGAGTATTTTCAGTGGTAATGCTGGAGTAGGGGCTTCCAGGTTGTGACACAAAGAAGAGTCTACAGTGGTAGGAACAATGAACAAAAGTGTTCATCTACAGGTTTGAAGGATTCATTCTCTTTTGTTTTTATTGGGTGTTTGTTTATTTGAGGAGGAAGTATTTCATATGACAATGCAGTGAATCTACCTGGCATATTTAATTTTGCACTGATACAATGAAATCCTTGTTCCTTAGGTGATAAGTACAATATTTCCAGAGCCTGGAATCCAATATAGTGGCTTTCTTAATTAAAAGGTACAGGTATTTTAAATTATGCAAGAAACAACGGAGTGGTATCAACTACCCTCCAAATGCGTGGGCTACATGGGAGAAAGTTATCAAAATATAAGGGTCTATGATCAAGAAGAAGGGTTAATAGATACCGAGCTCTTGAAACAGTAAATGCCTGCCAAACATCTTATTTGAATAACCTAAGCCCCCAGAATAATGAAATTTTTAAAAATTAAATAAGGATTATAATTATTGAACCTTAATTCTAACAAATACCTTTTATGTGCAGTTAAATATTAAAGTAGCTGCTGGCTTTCTCTTATTCAGAGAGAGAGAGAGAGAGAGAGTGTGTGTGTGTGTGTGTTTTAAATCATGCAGTTTTTAGTCTTATCAAAGTCCTTTTTACTATCTATTAAGATAATTACATGGATTTTATTCAACCTATTCAGATAATGCTATATTGATACGTGCCCTGATATTAAACCATTTTCTATTCCTGAAATGTATTCTTTAACAATGATATTCATATTTCCATGTATAGACTTAATTCACTGTTTTATTTGAGCCTTGTCACATTATGTTCCTAAGTATAAAGTTAATACTATTTGTGTACTCCATCAGGGTTTTGATATCAGTTTAGTACTACTGCCTTCATAAAATATAAAAATAATGTCTAACTACAGATGACATTTATAGAACATTTTTAACATTCTTTTTACATGCTTCTCGTGTAAATCTACTTCTCATGTAAATCTACTTCTAAGGTGGTACAGCTATTATATATTACACATCCTAGAAATTCAGTAACTTCCCTAAGATACCCAACCACTGAATGGTAGACCTTGAATTTCAAAGTGGGGACCACATAATAACCAATACTATATGCCACTTGATTTCTTTTTGCCAAAAATCTACATCAAGTAGCACTGGAATTAGGTGCTATTTGTAAATAGGGGGGTGGGGAGGGGCAATCATATATAAGTAAAATTGTAATCATTATTAGAAACAACGCTTTAAAGATTAAGTTCCTCCAGAGCTATTCAGTTTTTTACTCTTGAATCAATTTGAGAAAGTTCTGTTTGTTTGTTTGTTTGTGACAGAGTATCGCTCTGTTGTGCAGGCTGGAGTGCAGCGGCCCGATCTCAACTTACTGCAACCTCCGCCTCCCAGGTTCCAGCGATTCTCCTGCTTTAGCCTCCTGAATAGCTGGGACTACCGGCGCACACCACCATGCGCAGCTAATTTTTATATTTTTTAGCAGAGATGGGGTTTCACCATATTGGCCAGGCTGGTCACAAACTCCTGACCTTGTGATCTGCCTGCCTCGGCCTTCCAAAGTGCTGGGATTACAGGCATGAGCCACCACGCCCAGCCTGAAAGTTCAATTTTTAAGGAAAATCATCCATTCATTAAAAGTTTGGACATTTTTAGCATCCACTGTTAAAGAATTAAAAAAGCATTTCAAAAACAAAAGAAGGGATCAATGCTTACCCTGACTCTGAGCCAGATGAAGAATTTTTGATGTAACATATCGGGCAGCATCTGATTCTGAGGATTCAGCATTGATCTTCTCCAGCTGAGCCAGGAGTCCCACAATCCTAGAATTATTGGTAAGGCTAAAAAGAATATAGGATGTTAGGGCTCATTCTAAATCAACTGTGAATATTCAATACTATGAAGATCACTGTTTAAAAACAATTCTCCTCTTTTAAAAACAGTAAGCATTTACACATTACGCTTCCTTACTCTGTTCTACAGCTTAATATTATTAAAATTCTACTGACTTAAGTGAGTAACACATTCTATTTCAGAAAACTGTAAGTCACAAATATCCCCGTTCAGTAATCTTACATCACACACGCAAAGTTCACCTTTTCACTCTCAAAGGCCTTTTACACTTACTCTGCTCTCCTCAAAACTCTGATAATCCTTCCTCCCATCCCACTGCATTCTCAGTTAGTGCCCTGCTTCATAACTGGTATAAATCTAGCTAGAATACACACATCTTCCTGTCATCAGATCCTTAAGCCTACCTATCCTCCACTTTTCTTCCCTGTTCCTATTTATCATACAAACATTTGTACTTATGGTACTATTCTAGGTGTTGCCAACATAGTATAAACAAAACAAGCAAAATTTCCTGCCCCACATAGAGTGTACATTCTTATGGTGAGAAACACGTCAGTAAGTAAATATGTACATTTTATATGTCAGGTGATAGAAGTACTATGGAGAAAAAGCACACTGGGGGAATAAAAAGTGCGGGGGAGAGTGGTCGGAGAAGACCTCACTGAGAAAGTACCATTTAAGAACAGGCCTGAGCCAGGCACAGTGGCTCACACCTGTAATCCCAGCACTTTGGGAGGCCAAGGCGGGTGGATCACAAGGTCAGGAGATCGACACCATCTTAGCCAACATGGTGAAACGCTGTCTCTACTAAAAATACAAAAAAATAGCTGGACATGGTGGCGCACACCTGTAATCCCAGGTACTTGGGAGGCTGAGGCAAGAGAACTGCTTGAACCTGGGTGCCAGAGGTTGCATTGAGCCGAGATCACGCCTCTGTACTCCAGCCTGGCAACAGAGTGAGACTGTCTCAAAAAAAACAAAAAAGAAAAAAACAAAAAAGAACAGGCCTGAAAGAAGTAAGATAGTAAGCCGTGCAGATACCAGCAAAAAGAGCTGTCCAGAAAAAGGGAGGCACAAACTCCATGATTCCTGGGCAGGAGCAAACCTGCCATATTCTATGAACAATGAGGTGGCCAGTGTGGCTGGAGGAGATAGTAGTGAGGAAAGAGGTCAGAGTTGGGGTGGGCATGGGAGAGAACAGAGAAAAATAGCAGATTAGTTAGAGTTTTGTAAGCAATTTTAAGGACTTTGGCTTTTACAATGGGTGAGATGGGAAATTTTTTAGCAGAAGAGTTACATGTTCTCACTTTTAACGGGCTCTCTTTGGCTGGTATGTAGAGATTCAAAGAACAACCCACTGGTACACTTGCTCCCAGTCCCTTTCATTCTCAAAGTACTCGCTTTCTCTTTCAATTATACTTTCTCTGATCCCTCATCTATCTCTCCCCTCCACTAAGCAGACTTGTAGGCTTCATCATCATCACAAGTATGATCTAGGAGCTCCTACCAGCTGTTTCTCTGATACTCCTCCAAAGAGAAGTATGTACTGCTCTCACCATTTCCCCACATATTGTTCACTTTTCAAACCACCAGGTTGCCATCTGAACTCTGAGATCTCCTAAAAGCCTCCTGTGGTCACTTCTATCCCCAACATATTCACATCTCTGCACCATACAAACCAGTCATCTCCTCTTTTCTTCAAACACTTTCTTGCAATTCAATGACTCTATACATGCCTGATTTTCCTCCTCTTGCCCCTTGAGATCCCCTCTGACACACCTCTAGATACTGACATCTCCCCAGCGGTTCTGTCCTAGCCCACTTCTCTTCACTCACTACACTTTTCCCTTGAGCGATCTCACCAGCCTGGGCAACACAGACTGTCTCCACGAACTTGCCCCAACCCTCCCCGCCGCAACCCCAGAACCCTGTGGATCCTGCCTCTCCCCGTCCAAAAAAAAAAAAAAAAAAAAAAACTGTCTCCACAAAAAAATTAAAAAATTAGGTAGTGAAAAAAAAGTTATAATCCGCATGGTGCTTGGCTCTACGTTCAACAGCAGCCTCAACCTCTGATAGCTTCACCAACCTCACGAGCCCAATATAAAACTTCTGTTCCTCCTCTCAACCTATTCCTCTTCCAATCTTAACCTTCTCCAATTCACATGAATTCAGGTGCTCAAGATAAAAATCTAGACTCCTCTTTCCACACTGCAACCCAATATAAGCTCTATCTGTAAAATACCTCAAATCCATTCACTTCTTTCCATATCTACTGTTACTACCCACATCCAAGCAATCATCATCTCTCACAGCCTCATGGCTAGACTGCTTCCCTTCTTGATGCCCAATAATCCATTTCCACACAGTAATTTTTTTAACTTTTTATTTTTAAATAATTAGCGATTCATAGGAAGTTGCAAAAATAGTAGACTGGTCCTTTATAACCTTCACTCAGTTTCCCCAAGTATTACATTTCACATAACTATAGGACAATATCAAAACCAGGAAAACTGACATTGGTAGGTGTATAGTTCTGTGCCATTTTATCACATGTGTAGATTTGTAATCACAAATGTAATCAAGTTGCAAACAAATTATAAACCAATGGCTTCCCATTAGACTTCACGCAAAATCTTAGTTTCATATCGCAGCCCAATATAACAGGCCCTGTGTCAGCAAGCCCATGTACCTCTCAGTCTATTCCTTATAAGATTCCCTACATTCACTAGGATTCAGCCACAGTGGACTTTATCAGTTCCTTGAATACAGCAAGGTTTCTCTCTGACCTCCTAGTCTTCATATTTCCCATCCTCTCCATATAGAGGACTATTCTTCAAGCTTTTCACTAGGCTGGCTCCTTCTCATTTCAACTTGCAACCAAAATATAGTGCCCACTTCCACTAGCCTTTCCACTTCCAATAGCAAAATGTATTTATACAATTTATCAATATTTGAAATTATGTAAGTTTCACAAAGGTAAAGACTTTGCATATCTTATTCTATACACCCAGTACTTAGAACAGTAGCTAACACAGAATAGGTAATACATAACTATGCTTCAAAATGAACAAAAAAATTGAAAACATATAGAAAAATTATATTTACTATACTTTTTTTGGATTAACAATTGAATCCAATGCTTTAAATTTGTAGGTATTTTACCATAAAAGGTGACTAAAGGCTGAAAAAATATATTGAAACTATTATTTGAAAACATAACTAATATATAGATATAATTTGAATGTTTGTCCCCTCCAAATCTCATGTTGAAATATAATCCCCGATGTTGAAGGTGGGGACTAGTGGGAGGTGTTCAGATCATGGACACAGATTGCTCATTAATGGCTTAGTACCTCCCCACGGTAATGAGTCAGTTCTCACTCTGAGTTCACATGAGGTCTGGTTGTTTAAAAGAGTGTGGCACCTCCTCTCTCTGTCTGTCTCTCTGTCTCTGTCTCTGTCTCCCCCTCTCTCTCTCTCTAATTCCTACTATCACCATGTGACACACCAGCACCCCTTTAACCTTCCACCATGATTGTAAGCTCTCTGAGGCTTTACCAGTGCCATGCTTCTTGTACAGCCTGCAGAACCATGAGACAATTAAACCTCTTTTCTTTATAAACTGATCAGTCTCAGGTATTTCTTTATAACAACACAAAAAAGGACTAGCACACATACCATTTAAAAATAAGTGTATACAATATTTACCAATTTTTCAGCTAGCCAACATAGTACAGAAATTAAAATAATCCATGTTGTATTTTTAATTTTTTATTTCTTTGGTGATCAGTAAAACAGGTTTTCATTATAACTCATTTTAGTTTTCATAAGCATTTCATAATTTTAAAATTAACTTCTACAGAGATTCGGAGAAATTAAAATAAATGTCATTATGTATAAATCTTGAAATAAACTTCAAAAGTATGTACAGCATATAATTAACAAAGTTTTAAATATGCAAATTCAAAACAATATATTATTGTGTGTATATATAAATGCATACATACATATATATACACACATATACATTCATGGAAATATTGAACATAAAATTCAGAATAGGAATGACCTACAGGGATGAAAGAGAAAAATGTCACTAGATTATAGTCCATGTTGTATTTTTAATTTTTTATTTCTTGGGTGATCAGTAAAACAGGTGTTCATTACATTATAACTCATTTTAGTTTTCATAAGCATTTCATAATTTTAAAATTAAAAACTTCTACAGAGATTAAACATAAGCTTATATGTTTAAATTTTTACAGATTTTCTTCCAATGTTGCAGAAGAGGGGATGGTTCCTTAAAATTGTCCCTCATAAATATGAATGAGCAAAAACTTTTTAACATTATCGAAAATTCCAAACAGGAACAAAGGAAAAACAATAGTATAATGAACCATCGTATACCTATTACCCAGCTTCAATAATTACCAATTCAAGGACAATCATATTTCATACATGCTCCCCTGCAATTTTAAAGCAGATTTCAGGGAGATAACTTCCTCTGAAAAAAATCTTTGGCACTAACTATTTTCTCAAATGTAAGAACTCTTTCAAAACATGTAACTACAACATGACTACGATATCCAAAATAATAACATAATCATTGAATATCAAAATCCAATCTGCATTCAAATTTCCCAAATTCTCTCTCATTTTCTTTAAGTTAGTTTACAGAAGTCAAAAACCAAAGAAGGTCTACAAATTGCATTTGTCTTTTAATCCATAGGTTTATTACTACTTTTTTGCTTGAAATTATTGGTTGAAAACCTTGTTTGTACTATAGTTTCCCACATTCTGGATTTTGCCATTACTCACCCACCATATCATCAATGTGTTTCTCTACCCTCTATACATATTTTCTGCAAACTGATAGTTGGATCTAAGGGCCTAATCTGATTAAGATCTGATTTGCTGACAAGAATTCTGTATAAACGATACTATACTCTTCCATAGGGGGGCAAGTAGTATCTGGTTATCTTTTATA